GTATGCGTATGATGATACCCGCCCCCCTCCCCCATCCCACCCACCTGCCAAATACCCTATTACTGTAGTACTATGTGTCCACTTAGGTGCTGCTCAGTTAATACCAGTTTGCTGGAAATATATCTGGTGCTTGTTTTTCCATTTTGGGATACTTCACTTAGTAGTATGGGTTCCAGCTAACCAGGAAAATATAAGATGTGTTATATCACCATTGTTTCTTAGAGCTGAATAGTACTCCATGGTATACATATACCACATTTTATTAATCCATTATTGGATTGATGGGCACTTGGCTGTTTCTACAGCTTGCAATTATGAATTGTGCTGCTATAAACATTCGAGTGCAGGTGTCTTTTGTGTAGAGTGTCATTGGATCATTTGGGTAGATGCCCAGCAATGGGATTGCTGGATCAAATGGTAGATCCTTTACATAATGAGTGAGATGTGCACCATCTGGGGGATGGTCATAATGGAGACTCAGACTTTTGGGGGGAGAGGGGGAAATGGGCATTTATTGAAACCTTAAAATCTGTACCCTCATAATATGCCAAAATAAAAAAAAAATAATAATCCTGATAAATCTAAAAAAAAAAAGTGGTAGGCTAATTCTAAAATTCATATAGACTTTTTAGTCTCCAGACACACTGGAAGAAGAATTAAAAAATTAGAAGATTTATATTCCAGATATCAACATTTATTATTGAACTGAAGTAATTAAAAGACTGTCATTGATGCAAGGATAGATAAACAGAACAAGTTAACAGAACAGAGAATACAGAAATAAACCCACACGTGTGCAGCCCCAGGACTGGACAGCAGTGGAGAAAGGACAATTAATGAACGTTGCTGGATTAACTGCATGTCCACGAGGAAAAGGTTTAATCTTAATCCATAACTCATACTCTACACCAAAATAAGATCCAGGTAGATTATAGATCTAAATGTGATAAGTAAATCAATAAAATCTCCAAGGACATAGCAGGAGGCTGTGTACGTCTTTAGGAGTAAGGAAAGTTTTCTCAAATGTCAAAAGTGTTAACTGCTTAAAATAGAATGATTATGGAAAGAATATGTGAAAACTAAGACATTTACTATGACAGTCAAATGCAAGCCACCAAATCAGAGAAGATATCTTCAGCACATATAACTTACGAGGGACCTTGATATCAGAAAAATTTAAATGCCTAAAATCAATAAGAAAATGACAAACAACCCGGTAGAAAAATGGGCAAGAGATTCTAACGGGAATTCACTGAGAGGATACACGAATGATCAACACACACATGAAAAAGTAGTCACGCTCACAGGCATCAGGGAAATGAAAATTAAAATCAAAATAAAATTCTGTTGCATACCAATCAGGATGGCTGAAATTAAATAGTGTGACGACAGCAATCATCTAAGGACCCAGAGCTCTCACACAGGGCTGGTGGGACTAGATACGGCTAGTCACTTTGGAAAACTGTTTTATATTCTTGATTAAAGATGACTGTATACAGACTCTAAATTGTAATTCCACTTTTAGGTTTAAACTCAACAAAAATGCATACATTTGTCGAAAGAGGTGTATAAGAATGTTTATAGCAATATTATCTTTAATAACCAAACACCGAAAACAAATCAAAATTCCATTGACATTATAATGAATAAATAAGTTGTGATATATTTCTACAATGGAATACTATTCACTAATTAGAATGAATTAATTATGGCTGCACACAATACAATACTATCACTCTCACAGACACAATATTGAGAGAAAGAAGCCAGACAGAAGAAATGCATACCATAGAATGCCGCTATGTGAAGTTCAAGCGAGCATATCCCCGCTCTGTGACGTTACTGGTCAGGAGTGTTAGAGCTCCCTTTGCAAGTGGGCATAGGAGTGCCACATCAAGGAAGTCAAGGTTGTCAGGAACATAGGTACAGGCGGGTTCTAACTCTCAATATGTGTTCTGGCTTCGTGATGTGTTCCTTTGCGGTAACTCATGCTGTGGCTCTAATACATTCTTCTGCATATTTGTTGTTCTTCAATAAATGTGTTCCTAGGACAGAAAAGAAAAGAAGTAGTCTACTGCTTTATAAAACTTAAACAGTCACGGGCAGAACTAGCTTCAAGTTCAGATCTTGTTACTGAGAAAGCTCGGGAAATGTGCGAGTGTAACACTGGCCGAGGTGTGAAGACGCTGCTCCGGGATGGCTGTACGTGCCTTGATTTGACTCAGCTGGTTACCGCTCGGCCTCCACTCCCCACAGATCCACTCCGCCCCGGCCCTCGTCCAAGCCTGTGGGTTCCAGGCTGCACAGCAGGCCACAGCTCTTCCTCCAGTCCCATCTAGTCAAGGCTAGCCTTTTCACTTTTGCGGGCTAAATAATTTTTTGTTATTTCACATAAAATTACAGAAGAGATATTCTTTGGCTGATGCCTGACACCATGGACTGTAATTTTGTTAAAATTAGTTAGTGATTAACAATTTTGAAAGCATTCCCACTTAGAACTGGAACCAGGCAAGGTTGCCCTCTATCACCGCTTTTATTCAACATAGTGCTGGAAGTCCTAGCCAGAGCAGTCAGACAAGAGAAGGAAATCAAGGGCATCTAAATGGGGGCAGAAGAGGTCAAACTATCTCTCTTTGCTGAAAATATGATCTTATATCTAGAAAACCCCAAAGATTCTGTCATGAGACTACTGGAATTTATAAACAAATTCAGCAAAGTCTCAGATTACAAAATCAATGTACAGAAATCAGTAGCATTTCTATATGCCAACAACAGTCAAACTGAGAACCAAATCAAAGACTCACTACCCTTCGCGGTAGCAACAAAGAAAATAACATACCTAGGAACACATTTAACAAAGGAGGTAAAAGACCACTACAGGGAGAACTATGACACACTGAGGAATGAAATAGCAGAGGATATAAACAGGTGGAAAACCATAGCATGCTCATGGGTCTGCAGAATCAACATTGTTAAAATGTCTATACTACCCAAAGTGATCTATAGATTCAATGCGATCTTTATTAAAATACCAACATCATTCTTTGCAAATCTAGAAAAGATAATTCTACATTTTGTATGGAACCAGAGAAGACCCCATATAACTAAAGCAATCTTAAGCAAAGAGAACAAATTGGGAGGCATCAATTTACCAGACTTCAAGCTATACTATAAGGATATAGTAACTACAACAGCAATTCACTGACACAAAAACAGAGACATAGACCAATGGAACAGAACTGAGAATCCAGATATAAAACCATCCTTATATAGCCATCTAATCTTTGACAAAGCAGACAATAGCATACACTGGGGAAAAGAATCCCTATTCAATAAATGGTGCTGGGGAAATTGGATAGTCACATGTAGGAGACTGAAACAGGATCTGCACCTTTCACTTCTCACAAAAACCAACTCACGGTGGATAACAGACTTAATCCTAAGGCATGAAACTATAAGAATTCTGGAAGAAAATGTTGGAAAACTCCTATAGACATTGGCCTAGGCAAAGTATTTATCAAAAAGACCCCAAAGGCAATCATAGCAACAGCAAAAATAAATAAATGAGACCTGATCAAATTAAAAAGCTTCTGCACAGCCAAGGAAACTATCATGAGAGCAAACAGATAAGCTACAGAATGTGAGAAAATATTTGCATTTTATACATCTGATAAAGGGCTGATAACTAGAATCTCTATAGAACTCAGGAAAACCAGCAAGAAAAAAAACCAAGCAACCCTATCAAAAAGTAGGCAAAGGACATGAACAGAAACAGACAGACTAATGGCCAGGAAACATATGAGAAAATGCTCAACATCTCTAATCATCAGGGAAATGCAAATCAAAACCACAATGAGCTATCACTTAACTCCAGTAATAATGGTCTTTATCAAAAAGTGCCAAAACAAGGAATGTTGGCATGGATGCAGAGAGATAGGAATACCCATACACTGTTGGTGGGACTGCAAACTGAAACAACCTCTGTGAAAAGTAACATGGAAATACCTCAAAGAGCTACAAGTAGAACTACCATTTGATCCAGCAATCCCACTACTGGGAAGCTGCCCAAAAGAACAAAAGACATTCTGTAAAAAAGACATCTGCACTAGAATGTTTATAGTAGCACAATTCACCTTTGCAAAGATTTTGAAAGAACCCAAGTGCCCATTAATTTATGAGTGGATTAATAAAATGTGGTATATGTATAATATGGATTATGCAGCCACAAAAAAAATGGTTCTAACACCTCCTGTATTATCCTGAATAGAGCTGGAACCCATTCTTCTAAGCGAAATATCACAAGAATGGCAAAACAAGCACCACATGTACTCACCTAATTGGTGATCAACACTTAAGTGAACATATGGTAATAACATTCATTGGGTCTTGGGCAAGTGGCAGGGGAGATGGGGATGGGTATATTCATACCTAATGAGTGCAGTGTGCACCATGTAGGGGATGGACACATTTGAAGCTCTGACTCAGGTGGGGCAAAAGCAATAGATGTAACTTGAACATTTGTACCCCTGTAATATACTGAAATAAAAAACAATTTATAAAACCCAACAATTAGTGAGTGGTGTGCCCATGGCCCTGCTGAAACGTCTGGAAGAATGATAACTCCACTTGAGTTCTCTTCTCTGCACTTCTAAGGAATGTTCTTCTTGATGTACTTTCACCACTGAAGAATGAAGTGCCTCCATTTCTTCCTGCCCACAGTCTTCGTAGGCTCTGCCCCAATTGTTTTTTCCTTTGTACCTTTCTCCTTAGACTTTCATCTAATCTCTGACACCGAGAAGCAGCTTTACTCTCCATGTGTGCATTCAAGTCACAGCTTTCGTTTCTGTTTTCACACAGCAGACTCACTTCTGGGGCCCATGGCTGTGAGTGGCAGAGCCAGGAGACCCGGGGTGCACTTGGGAGGAAAGACACCCATTAATTTTTAGACATATTTTCCATTCGCATCTGCATTTCCGCTTCAGATTTCTGCTCTGAGATTTGCAGCCATCCACTCCACAGCATGACACTCATCTTCACTTGAGTGCCCGGGAGAGCCAGAGGCCAAGTGCCGGGATGGTAACTAGATGTGCTCCTCCCTTCGTGGGCTCCGTGCCAGTGATGGACATTTAGGCCAATTCAAAATGGACGGTGTGTCGGCTCTTCCTGAAAGGGGGTGGTTAGAAATGCTGATGCCACATTCCCTTCACATCTTCTGAGTGCAAAGGGAACTAAACAGCCAATGTGGTGCTTGGCTTTCAGAACTTTGTCTATAATGACTGAAAATGAAAGACACACACAGTGAATATTTTTCCACTTGAAAGAATTTATACATATTTTATTTATCTCAAGTTGCACCTAACAGTTTTGATGGTTCCTGTTATAACTTTCCTTAGTGACTATAAGACTATTCTTTTTTCATTTCAAAATATGAAGGGTATAGAAATGTTTCTGTTATATAAGCACCTTTGATCATGCTCAAGTCAGGGCTTCAGTGTGCCTGTCACCAGCATAGTGTGCTGCACCTGGTATGGAGGTTTTTACCCCGCCCAGCCTCCCCCTCTTCCCTTCATTGGAAAGCTTCTTGATTCTCAATGACCTTTAGATCTCTTTATGCCTGTGTGTGCCCATCAATAAGCTCCCAATTATTAGGGAGTACATGTGGTGTTTGTTTTTCCATTCCAGAGATGCTTCACTTAGAATACTGGTCTCCAGTTCCATCTGAGTTGCTGTTGAAGACATTGTTTCATTCCTTTTTATGGCTGAGTCATACTCCACAGTGTGTGTATGTGTGTGTGTGTGTGTGTGTGTGTGTACACGTAATATATATACCCCCCACATTTTCTTAATTCAGTCATGAATTGATGGGAGTTGTGATTTGTGCTGCAATACACATTCGAGTGCAGGTGTCTTTTTGATAAAATGATTTATTTCTTTTGGGTAGATACACAGTAGTGGGATTGCTGGGTAGAATGGTAAGTCTACTGTTGTCTACTTGTATCTTTGAGGGATCTCCATACTGTTTTCCATAGAGGTTGTACTAATTTGCAGTCCCCACCAACAGACCATTCTAATTTCTAGAGGGAAAATGAAAAGATTTGCCATAAGAAACATTTTGTTCATGACCTCCTGTCTATACTTATAATCCATACATTGACAACATTAAAAGTAATGTGTATTTTCAGGTTTCAGGCAAGGAATAAACTCTGTTAGAAATTCCATCCCAGACGTGTATATATTTTAAGGAAAATCTGTACTTGAGTTCTTTCTGTGAGTTCTCATTTAGACTGTGACTCCCACAGTAGGAGGGCTGTGTGGACTGGCCGATGGGCTATGCTAATGGTGCTGATAAGATAGCATTTTGCAAAAAAGAGTTGTGAAGATAAAAAATGTCATATTAAAGGTATGCTGCACTTGATATAAGAGTGATAAAATAGGAGGGTTTGGGGACACACCAGGTCAGGAGCTTGTTAGACTTTGTCCTTCAGGAGAAAACTTCTGTCACAGGAAAAAAGAGCAAAGGGAACTGAATAAAAGCCAAGTAAATTACTCAAAGTTTGGTGTTTCTCTTCTTTCCTAATGCTAGAAAAATCACTGTTAAAATTTTGCTAAAATTTTATTTAACTACAGCTGATTCCTCTACTTACACTGAGATATTTTTTGCTGCATAGAACTTTCTAAATCAGTCTTCAAGCTTAAGAAGTTTACAACAGAATTGGAATGAAACGCAAAAGCTGTGCCCTCAATGTCATCTCAACACCAGAGCACTGGCAACTACATGGTTCTCCTGCCATGTCTTATTCCTGAGACTAATTCTCTTTGATTCTTCTCTACACGAGCACTGAAGTTGTCCTTCTGAATGCAGGGTTTACTACATTCCTTCTCTGCTTACAAACTGCAGTGACTCATAATGTCATTTAAAGTTGCTCATAATGTAGGTCTGACCTATTTTCAGCCTCATCTCTTGATGCCACCTCCTCCCGCGCCCCGGCTGTGTTGCACCCCAGCTTCACACGTGTGCCAGTCTTCCCCAACCTTCCTTGCCTTG